TTAATAACAAAAAATCTTTTTAGTTTTGTTTTTATATATTTTCATGTAAAAAATTAAATATTCTTTATTCATACCAATACAAAGTACAAATATCATCAATATGATTTTAGATTTAAAAATAAAATTGTTTTTAGCTTGTGACAATTCATTAAATGTCGGTCATTCAGTTTGATTAAGTACCAAACAACGTTGAAATAAAATTTCTCGTACTTTTAAATGTTAATCATTGTTTTCTTATTGTAATAAATACATTTCACGAGCAAGTTTACTAAATGCATATGCATCAGATTTGTCAGAATGAATTTTATTTGATGATGCTTCCGATCCTATATTATCAATATTTGTTAATTTAATTAAAGTATTGTCTGGTACTTCGTCCAGGAAATATATAAATGCATAATTAGCTGTAACATTCCCATAAGATATTGAAGAGCTGAAACAATTTGATATAGTATAATATCAATAATATTTACTGATAATGTCTGATGAACTGCTCAGAAATCAGGCGATCGATTGAGAGAAGGAAAGGCTCCTTCAGAGCTTTGGGACACACTGATGATGACAGTAGATAAATAATATTAACAAATAGACAATACCAAATAGATAATATTGTAACTGATAAAAAATAATTTAGCGAAGAATCCTATTTGATAAAATCTGGTGATTGATAGTGGTTCTACCGGTCTCAACTTAAACAAACAAGTTTATTAACAACTGATAATGGAAAATAGTATAAAAACAAAAGTAAATAATGAGGGTGTGGGTGTAGTTGTTGATGACAAGGTAAACCACACCCACCCTCCTCCCTCCTCTCTTCTTCCCCACCCCATTGCACACACTTAGCAACTGGAAAGAGAACATTACAGACACCCCACCATTACAGACATGCCAACATTTCAGATAACCTCTCATTACAGATCTCAGCAACCGCGCACAGAAAGATTCAGATTCTATACAAAATTCTAATGCATTGATAAATATTTGAAAACAAAGTATTTTTTATTTTACAAGTAATGCATTAGGATAAAAATGTGGAAGAATATACGTGAGTTCCACATTTCAGCTGCAAAGGAGCTGCGCTGGCAAGCTTTTTTTTTAGTAAGATTTATTCAAATCCTATTGCAAACGACTCCGAGTTTTTTTCAGTGCCTTTCTCTCACGGATTCTTCGATTTTCTACGTGATGCTAATTTAAAAGTTGTCAGATATTTTTACGTGTCTTTTTCAAGAAACCATAGACGTAAGAAGCGATCATAGATGTGATAGACTTAGCATTCAGATAGTCTATTGAACTGTGAATGTTAACTGTTGAAGTTATTTTTCCTTCTTTATGAATAGACTCTTATTTTGATAACTGGAAATCGAAGCACACTGATAGAAATTTTAGTTAGATGACCATCAGAATCAGAAGTTTGGAAAATATAGAAAAATGGATATGCATGGGATGAGTTGTGATGTGCACAATACAAAATATCCTGACACATTTTTCAGATCTATCTCAAAAAAATACTATTACACCATATGTAATTTTATAAATAATAGCATCATTTAATTGCGAAACTGAAAAATGGCAATAAAAAGTTCATAAGACAAAAACAAATTGATTAATCTTCCTATTAAAGCCAAAAGCTGTTAGACTTTATGTTGAGTTATGTATTTTTACTCTACTTTTGCAAA